CTCTTCGAAGGAGTATAAAGGACCAGGGGAGAAAATAGTAATAATGATGAGCATCAATATACCAGAGACATTTTACGGGGGTGGAGAGGGGAACGGGATCAAAAACGAGGGTGTTGGAAGTGCACCCATGTGATGGCACATGGGTGCTTTGGTGATGGGAAGCCCACAGGGATTTCAATTGAGATGGAAAAATGCGCAAACTTTTGTAAATATAAACATATTTTAAAATAAATATATATAAGTAAATAAATATTTTTTTTAAAAACAAAGATGTGCTGTAGGCCTGGTCTACTGTGATATGCATCAAATATAGGTAACACTGGGAAAAGATGACATATATACACACATATATAGAAGGAGGGATGGAAAGAGACAGTTGTCACATTGACACTTCCAGATGAAAATTAAAAGATCCGACTCAGTCATTGCCATTCAAAGATCACATAACAAACAAGCAAAAAATAGATCATCTACTGATTATGACTATATGTACCCACAGCACACAGTTCTGTTTGGAGAGTTTTGTCCACAAATCAGAGAAGACTAATCGACTTTCGAACCAGTCCAAAAGTGTCATCACAACTGTCTTAACTTCAGACCATCTCCCCCATCTTTCAAAAGTTTCATATGTGGGGCCCTCCCTGGTGGCGCAGCAGGTTAAAGCACTGCACTATGAAGCTGAAGCCACTTCAGCATGAGTTTGATTCCTGACCAGGAGGTTACCCACATGGCCCAGCAGATCTCTACTGGCCCACCTGCTGCTCCCCTCAGCAGTGTACTTCATCCACTGCCTGTCCTGCTCCCCACTCTCTCACCCCCCGACCCCACACCTCTGGCTTGTACCCCAGTTTTGTAGGCATAAATAAATAAATCTTTTTTACAATTCCATATGGCTTGACCCCAGAACGACCATGTTGGGACTGTACGTTGGTCGTGAACTAGAATCATGACTTCTGGTCTTAAATGAATCCCTTCCCTGATTGTATTATAACCTGGTTATTTCTTGGTTCATAGTAATCTGTGTCCATTTTATACCTACATAGTAATCTTATCCCTTGCTACTAACAATGATGGTTTGTGTGGTAAATTTTTACCTATAGAGATAAATTTTTCAACATTGAGAAAGCTTCGATTCTTAGTAAAAGACACATGACAATAACTTCGGATTACAAAAAGAATCACTTTATCCCTGAAGAAAGAATTTCTGAAAGAATTTTCTGTCTGTGAATGTTGACAATTTATAGATATGTTTACACAAGTGAGCATCAATCTCTATAAGGCCAGCCAGTTCAGCAATAGAAAAAAGGCAATTTACTCCTTCATCCAAAAGAAACCAGGCTATCAGCTCAGATACAGGCCATTTGTTTTTGCAGGCGAAGTGGTTATTTTTAGTGTTTACAGACAGGTGTCCTTTTATGTGAATCGTCATTGCTGATACACCAATACAGTTTTTAAAATATTTATTTATGTATATAGGACTGGGGTACAGGCCACAGGTGCAGGGGCAATGAGAGGATTCCCCAGAGACAGAGTGGGGAGCAGATCAGGCAGACAGACAAAGTACACTGCTGAGGGGAACAATGAGTGGGTCAGGAGAGGTCTGCCGTGCCATGTGAAACACCTCCAGGGCTGGGGATTGAACTCACACTGAAGCGGCTGCAGCTGGCTTGCAGTGCTGTGCTTTAACCCACCCACGCCATGAGGGAGGGCCAGTATACCAATACTTTATCTAGAAATTAATAAATAATGAAGGGCTATACTACACTTATACCTGAACTTTTTCTTTATTCAGTCACCAAATGTTGTCACTTCAGCTTATTTCAGATTTTATTTTGTTGATGTGTGAAACACCATATTTCTCACTCTACACCCCTGTGAGAAAAATAAAAAAGGAAAGTCAAAATAGAATATGTTTTCCTTCAGATTGTGTTTTCATTTGATACAGATGTGAAAAGATCAGAAAACAAGGATTTTTTCCAATCATTTCCATTTAAATCTAATTTAAGTATATACAGATAGAAGTAATACTTGTCTTCCTTTCTGCAAATTGCAAGAGATGGATTGCTCTGGTTAACCTATGCCATCTCATTTCACAGAGCTGAAGTTCACATCAGCATTTTTGTTCTTGTAAAGAAATGTTTAAGGTGCCTGTCTTGCTTCATAAAAGGGATAGAGAGGGCACGAGAGGGTAGTTTTTCTATATATCATAGAGCAAAACAAAGGCCAGTGGAGGACAGGTGGCAAACTTAGCTTCATCCACGTGCCTCCTCTCTCCTTCTTTATAGAAGCATATATACAGTCTCCCAGAAAGCTGTAGTGTGGGATGTCTAAGCTGGAAGACTGGAGGGGCAGGTAGAGCTTATCAGACCATCTCTGAAATATGTGCCTTGTAGCCTAGGTTTCCTGCTTAAACTACTAATATGGCTATTAGGAGTACCTAGATTACCTGCTAGAGCCAAATTTAAAGATTATGAGGGACTCATCTTTGCTTTGGTTTCCCTATTTGTAAAATAAGAATCACTGCGGTAAAAATAATAATAAGAAGAAGAAAACAATGTATATAAAATGCTCACAACAGTATATAGCATATATTGCTCAGCTACCAGTAACAATCATTACTATGTGGTTCTTGGTGTTGTGAAGGTGAGCTGAAAAAAGGTGGCATCATGGAAAAGAAAAGGGATTAGGCATCACCCCAAAGTGTGACCAAGAATATGGTTTCTTTTGCTAGCTGAGAAACTTACCTGAAATTTATACTTTTTAAAAGAAAAGAGAGGCCCTGCCCCGGAGGAGACCACATGGCGTGGCAGACCTCTCCTGACCCGCCCGCTGCTCCCCTCAGCAGTGTACTTCGTTGATCTGCCTGTCCTGCACCCCACTCTATCTCTGGTGAATCCTCTCACCCTCCACATCTCTCTGGCCTGTACCCCAGTTCTATATGAATAAATAAATAAATCTTTAAAAAAAAAAAAGAAAAGAAAAGAAAAGAGAACATGTATACCTTTCAATAGTCCTGTAGTGCAAGTAGTGTTCATGTCCCATCTTCTTAAATGACACTTCCCCTTAGTCCTCTTAGCCCCTTAGTCCCAGGAAAGACCCCCTGCAATTGAAGCCTTGGGGAACTCAGTACTTGGCTCCATGGAAGTGGAGTCAGGCTTAAAGTCTCCAGCACTACATGTGGGGGAAGGTGTAGTGTTGCAATTAATATAATTATTCTTGAGGTAGAGGAATAGACAGAAACTGAATGTTGAAAGTGTAAATTGGTGTCATGGATTGAATGGGAGTTCTTGGATTTGGGAATGACTGAAAAGGTTTGGGGGTGGACAGTTATTATGAACCATTGGAGGAGCATGAAAGAGCAAATGAACTTAAAAAGAATGCAGTGCAAGAAAGAGAGGGATTTCAGAAAGTAAAACAGCCAGAGACACTATAGGTCTCCTACAGTCTTCTAGGCCATAATAAGAAAGCAGGGCTTCCCTGCTATAATTAATAAGAAGTTGTGGCTAAGGATTCAGTGAGGGAGACTAGAAGACTATGGCGAGATGCTAGATAAGGAATGAAACTGAGATGTATCTGTGGGGAATTTAAGGAAGATACAGATATAATAACCTATACTGGGAAGTAGTTAAAATTTAAAAAGTAAACATACATGATTTTCCAGTTGAAGACTTTATTTATACAAGATGCTTTACAAATTATTTAAAATGTGAAGTCATAGTTATATATTTAGCTGTTCATTTTTATTGATAATAATAGATTACATGAAATTAGGACTTTTCCATAATGTTGAGGAAGAGAATTGTTCCATCAATAGCCCTGGAACCTGGCAGCAATATCAAAACTTCAAAATTTTATTTCTACCTCAGAGGTCAGCACTGGTCTAAGACCTCCTAGATAACCTGGTATAATATGATTCTAATGCTAAAATCACTACCTTCTAAAATTAGGATTGATGTCCTAGTCTATATTAACACTAGGTAACTCAGTCAGTTTCAGGTACCATACAAATTTAAGTCCTAGTAGTGTTGAAAGGAGATCAAGTCCATAACTGGCTTCAAAGTGTTCTAGGGAATCCTAATTCTGGAACAAGGAGTATTCCTTAAGCATAGGCTAAATAAGATTACCTCCTTGGTCTAAATTTTAAAAACCAAGTTGCACTACCATGACAAGTAGATTTTTTGGATGATATCAAAGCTCGTTATTAGTGAATGTCTTTGTTCTCTTTGGGTATCAAAATCCCATTCTGGTCTAGCCATTTCCTAAGCCAGTTAAGGATTTATTACAAGTTAAAGCGTTAAAGAGTCTACCCAGATATTTTTGGGAAGCAACCCAGAACCAAAGCATCAATAAGTTTCAATCTCTTATATATCAAAGCTTATTATATCCAAAAGGTCAAGGATATAAAAGTGACCTTTACATTTTGGAACAATACACAGTGTTTAGTTACTATTTTCAAAAAATATCAGAGAACACAGAAATCTTCAAACAACAGTTAAAATGGATACAAAGTTTTTAAATGTGTTTATTAGCAGTTTAGTGAATGTGACATACTTAATTACAAATCTATTATATTTTTATATAACTATTAATAAGCTGAAGTTAGGAGTATACATGTGATCTATTCTATATTCTTAGCCTTATTCAATATGTAGCTATATCTCAAATATAAACTTATGCTCTAGTGAAATATAAAAGGGTTATTATGTATAATATTTTTTAAAGTAAAAGGCATATGCCTGAATAATTCAGTACTAATTTATTGCATTATACTTAATTTGGAAGTGCTCATGTCTCTTAGCACAATGTCTTGAAAATAATGCAATGACTTAAAAGAGTGGCCTTGGCTCAAGAGGAAAGCCTGATAAAAAGTGGTTATAAAAACCAGTAAAAAAAAAAAAACCTCCATCATTTGTCAAGGATGAAATCCCAAAATATCATTCACAATTTACTATTGATTATAATTTTAGATAAATCCCCAGTTACTTCTAAATCATGTATATGTCTCGCTATGACAGTCTCATACCAACAGACCAAGAAAAGGAAGGGGGTGGGGTGACAATTCTTGAAAGTCATTAGAGGATAAAACTTTTACATGCATTTGGTTCCCTAATCTAGAAGAGTGAGACAAGTTTCCATTAAGGGAAGCAACATTACTTTCCGAAAGCTATTAAAAGGTAATTCAAGGAGACCTCAAGTCATGAAGCCGTGTTGATAACCTGCATTCCTGCCTCACTTTTAAGACACAAAGGTCTCCATTTCTCTAAGGGAACTGCTTTTTCGGCACGACACACTCTCTCTCTTCCCTTGGAGCCAAGTAATTGGAACCCTAAACACACGGCGAAGCTTCTGTTGGAACCGGTTTCCAACAAAACAATACAGAAAGGGATTAATGCAGCTGTTGGTGAATCCCAGGAGGATGGCAAAAGGAAGTGCCAGGTCAATGACTGCTATAACTTCACAGCTATTAATGACACCCATCCAGGCCAGCGCATCCAGGAAGGTCAGAACATGGAAGGGAAGCCAACAAATGATGAACGCCAGAACAACAGCAGCTGCCATCTTCAGGACTTGGTCACGAGTTATTCTGTTCTTCCCATAGCTATTGGTCTTTAGTAAGTGCTTTCTGATTCCAAAATAGCATGTTGCTATGAATATTAAAGGGATAATAAAACCAAGGATATTTTTCATTAAGGCAATCCCAGCTGACCACTGGGCATATTTCTCAGGTGGGAAAGCCATAATACAAGCATTCACTCCTAAATATTCAATGGTTCTGACATCTCGGAAATAAAATGTTGGCAATGAAGACAGACAGGCCATACACCAAACAAGGGGGACAATATAAGAAGCCTGCCAGGGATTTCTTCTTTGAGACAGAAAGGGGTAGATGACAGATTGGTACCTATCAACGCTCATGCAGGTGATAAAAAAAATGCTTGCAAACATGTTCAGGGTCAGGAAAGAACCAAACACTTTGCACATCACAGGGCCAAAGAGCCAGTCATATCTGTAAGAATAATAGGTTGCCCAGAGAGGAAGAGTAGCCAGAAGCAGTAAGTCAGCCACTGCCAGGTTGAAGATGTAAATGCTGGAAACCTTTTTAGGACCCTTTTGACAACAAAACAGTGTAACCACAATAGTATTTACAAGAAATCCAATCACGAAAATAATGTAGTAGAGAACAGGAATCGCATCTAAATGCTTATCTGATGGCTTATGTGAGCAGTTAAAGGCCGACTCGTTGCCAGAGGTGTGCACAAGTCCAAAGTGAAGACTGCTGGTAATGTTTTTGCTACTGGTGGCCAGGGTGAAGTTGCCCTTCATATTGAAATGTCAGCAGCTCCTAATTCTTACTGTCTTCTGTGGGTAAAAAAAAAAATAAAACTCTCAGAACACAGAATTTTAGGACATTAATATTTTAAACGTCTCTTGAAAGCAAAAAAGTTAGCTTATTATAGAAAACATTATGAATCAGACCTTTCTTTGTGGAATAAGAATGGATTTCATTTCTTGAAAAGAGAATTTTCTCAATAGTACAAAGAATTTAAGGCAGTGCAGTATGAGAGACTAAAAACTCTGAACAAAATTGCATTTTCACCATCTCTTCTATCACATTTTCAAAAGGTTTAAAGAAAATTAATATTTCAAAAGGTTAGCCAGAATAGGAAATGTGTGAAACAAATAAGAAGAAACCCAGAAATAATACAAGCTAGTATTTCAAACACACCTCAGCACATATCTCAGTCTGTAGACTTTCTAGAAACCACACTGCTGTTTGCTATTGCATACAGAAATGCCTTATTCAAGCAACTAATTATATACAAATCATTACAGCTCTGGAAAATATAAGGAACATAAGCTATGGAAAAATAAGTGTGCAAAAGACTGAAGGAGAATATGCAAAAGGATCATATTAGGATAGGAGATTATGATTGGTTTTTACTAATTAAAAATAATTGTTTACTTTCCATTGTTCTCACAATACTAAAATAACTGAGAGGAAGTTATGAAATAATGCATACTTCTAAGAGTCCTCTGCTCACATTTTAATAGACTACTATTTTTAGATATAGGTATTTAAATTTCATCGATTTAAAGAAAATCCATTTACTTCTTCAATTAAGAAAAGAAAGAGAAAAAACAACCAAATCTGAGTTAGGATAAGGCAGAAATAGTTTTGAATACTCAGTGAAGTAAGAATTGAACATCAATAATTAATCATGATATAATTTTATCATGTTCGTTTGCTATAATTTTAATTTAATACAACTAAACATGACATTGCTACGTTGCTCTTAAATCAACAATCCAGTTTTTGTGATACTTTTTTTTAATTAGCGCATTATTTTAAAACAAAAGAAAATTAGCTGAAGATAAACACAGGAAGGGAAATACTATTGCTTTTGATACTATAAGATACATAAATAAACTACTCAATGAAAAAAGTAAACACCAAGGAATCTCTTAATAAAAAGCAAAACTATCACTTTTATCTACAGCTCATTCTCTCATAATCTTGACTTAACAAAATAACATAAAAGAATCTAAAATAAACCCACTTGAAGACTTACTGGTTGTTGGAGTTTAAAACTTAGTTATCATAAATCAGCTTGGCTAGTTCCTAAGTGCACTCCTGTAAGAGAAACAGCAGTTAAATAATTTAAGAGTTTTGCAAAATACAGTGTTAAAAGACAGGAAAAAGGGAAAGTTCATCCATAAAAAATATTTTCATTTAATGTATGTTCTACTTTCCACATAGAGTATATATAAACTGTGCAGACCTACCTTAAAAAATCAGGCTGAAGAATGCTTTTAATTCTGTGCTTATTCGTTCCCTTAGACTCTGGGACGTAATAGCACCAGATCTCTGGTTTCCTTCTTATATGTTCGGTCTGTCCACTGGGAGCCTTCAACCTACATAATTCTAGGGCTGACTTATGAACACTTGCCAGCTTTCCAGAGGGTTTTTTTTTTTTTTTTGGCTGCAAAACATTAATCTGAAATTCTCACTGTCTCCAATCATAACAGCTCATTCAAATAAATCTCAAACAAAAAAATGAAGTTTCCACAAATGTGTTAGAGAATTTTGAAGTCAGTGGCTTACTTTAAAAGAAGAATATAATTATTTGCAGAATTTTCTCTTTCTTTTTCCCTGATAATGGCATTCTAAAACAAGTTAAAGAGTGGAGACTAGGGAGTTTATCCTGGTAGCACAGTCTTTGTCCACCAACATCTTTTGCAGTTTTCATGACTTTCTGAAATGTTTACCCCTGCTTAATAAAAAAAAAAAAGGTAGCAACTTTACTTGATACCTATAATTTCTAAAATTTCTCTATTGTTTTAAGCCACTTTGTTGGCTTGCTGCTGGAGGGGTGGTGACAGGGTAACTCATGTCTTGGGGAAGAGGTATTGATATTTTCGTCTCCTTTCAATAGTCCCTATCGAAATACAAAGCACATGAAGTGAGAGTCTAGGCAGCCACCACAGCCTGCATCCCTGTAGTTTCCTTTCCTTTGGGGCAGGGATGACCAACTCGACACCATCAGTCCAGTTGAAGCAAGAGTGACAAAAGTAGAAAAGATAAGAACAAGTGATGGTAGATGAAAATAGCAGCTGGCACGGTTTCATGCCAAGCACTGTGTTACCTGATTTATATTCAGAAATTTACTGAAGAGGCAATTTTAACATTCTGATGTTTGCAGGGCCTCTGGAATACAACTCCCAGGCTTCACATACTCAATACCATTTCCTAACTGTATGACCTTGGCCGAATTACTTTCCTTTCCCATGTCTCAGTTTTCTCATCTAACAAATGGGAATGAATTTAATTACATACACCATGAAGATTCTTTTTTATGGAGATATAGTTGGCATATATCATATTTGTTTTAGGTGTATAACACAATGCCTCAACACTTACAGACACTGGGGAATTTCTACCACAGTAAGTCTAGTTAACCTGTCCACATAACCTGGATCAACCAGTCATGAGGATTAAATGATTTTCATCTATTTGAGGCATGTAAAACTGCCTACCACATGTAGTTGTTATTGTAGGTTTTTACTATGACTCCTGTTCTACAATCAGGACCCCAAGGCTCGCAGAAATTAAATAAATAACTTTTGTAAGGTCACATAGCTATTAAATGAGGACATTTGAATTTAAAGGGAGTAATCTAATCTCAGAGACCACTGGGAGGGAGCACTGGCTGGTTTTTTAATCTCACCCTTGTCCTGGCATGAAGAAAACTTGCAACATTTACACAGAAAGTCGCTACTGACAAATCAGAAACTGTTACAAAAATGCTTAAAAAAAAAGAAAAAAGGCCATCAGTTTGGAGGATTGTTACGTGGGAGAAAATACTTTTCTAAATTGTACTCCCCAAATGGAGACCACAGGAACTAATACTCATTAAATTGAGTACAGAAAACCAGAGAACCTAGAAAGTTTGCATGGGTATAAGGATTCCAATAATTTCTATGGATCACATTTTTTCTGACAGCAGAAAAAACAAAGCCTGTCCTTTCTACAGGCTGCAGGTACAGGAAGGTAGGTTGAGCAAGTAGCTGGGGACGGACCAAAGTAATGAGTTCAGCAGGAGAGCAATGAAGAAGCAATGGTGGATGGCAGAAGGTAGAATTATGAATGACGTAAGACAAAACATGGCATCTGACATTTGTCTGTTTCAGTACCAAAGCAGTCAGGCAGACAGAGCCAGTAAGAAGAGCTCAGCCCTGCCTGCGCTGGCACAACACCCTTTCAGTGTTTCTTTTGGTAGATTGGCTTTGAAGATGGAGAAGATATCCCTAATATACATACAGACTGTTCCATTAAATCGCCAAATGTTTTCTTCCAATGCTCTGGACAGATTCAGGTTGAGGCTCTGTCCAAATGATGGAAAACTGATGTTTCAGAAACAACTGAGTGGGCACATATGGTTATCAGCAGAGAGTTGAAATGGGAACTGGTTTCACTCTTGAAACCTCCTCTCTGTCTCCATTTCAAATGTTTGTGTTTGCCACATACAGGGAATTTTCCAGGCCCGAGCCTCCTGAGTGGTCACGATGGGTCAGATTCTCACCCTGCTCTATTTCTAGCCCCCTCTCGTGTCCCTAGCCATGAGACAGCCAGGAGGTGAGCTATAAACTTTGAGAGCAAGCAGCAAGCTTGCCTCTGGGGGACATAGGCTTGACCACCCTGGAGGAGCAGGGGACCTTGTCTAGAACTGCTGTCCTTCAGTACAGTAAGTTCTGACGTAAGTAAAGTTTAAAGAGGCACACTTTTCCCAGAAGATTAAAAGGGCACTTACTCTGTTTCTTCATAATTTTAGGAGAAAGAATTTTCACAAATCAAAGAAAGAAATTGTAACTATAGGAAATTAAAGTGAAAAAAAAACAAAGAAAAAATTGACATCGCTTAAAGCAAGAAATACAGCATATTATTGGTTCAGCAAAGAACTCCAAGTTAAGTCAACAATGTAAATATGCTTCAGAGTCAAATAAATGGCAGTCATGGGAAGCAGTACAATACAAAAAAAAAAAAAATCCACTCTCCTGAGGCAGGGGGTTATTTTCCTGCTAGAAGATTGATTTTAGAAGCCTCGGGTCATTTGAATAAATTATGCAGCTTTTCAACACAAGTGCAATGTGCCTAGCAGAGTTAAACAATGGTAAATCACATTACATTAATATGTTTCTAACAAACACCTATTACTCATTGTAACCTCACTTAAAAATTTAAAACACAAAGTAAAAAATCTAAAAAGATGTTTTGACAGGAACTTCTCCTCAGTGAGAAGGATTTAAGGTAGGGTTCAAAAGAAAATCTTATATGCTATCAATACCACACATCCCCCACCTACCACATACACACAGGTGAGGTGGTGAAGGGGCAAAGGAATTACACAGATGCAGAAGTCTTGATATACAAACCTTGCTTATAAAAGTGAGGATTAGTGTTGCATAAAATATGTATGGGCCATCTTTGTTAGTTTCTGTTCTTTTCAGAAAATAGATCCCAGCCACCTCTCTAAGTTCCTATCCAGATCAGTGTCATTTTCATTACTCCCAAATTCAACATAATCATGCACATATCACTTATACCTCCATACCAACACACACCAAGTTTTCTTCATTTTAACACCAATTTTTCCTCAGGTCACTTGTCCATACGGAAGCCTTGCTACAATTGTGACTGAACTTCACCATCCCTGAAAGAAGGGAGTTAAGATTACCCACTATTGGTGCATCCTGCAGTTCTTTTCTGTGCCTCTCTCTATATTCTAAAATAATGAGAACAGACATGTCAGGATGAAAGCAAATTAGAAAAAAAAAATGTCCTTTAATCAGAGCTAACAATCAGGTTGATCATTGTGTTTGTATAAGCCAGACTAAAAATTCAGTAAAATTACCTATATTAGTGATTATTTGCAGCAAATTAACTGTCTGCCTAGGCATCACGTCACTGAGAAGACTATTAAATCAGTTAACTAGGTGGAATCCATGTAGCGAAATAAGTGGCTGTCTGACTCAGTACATTCCTGAGATCAGTAGTTTCCAGCTGAATCTGGTCCCAGGGACTTGAGGAGAAGGAAGTGTTCCAATTTCCCTTTGCCCCAAAGGATTCTGCAGGCCTATGCATCAAGTTCAGACCAGAATCTCACAGAACGGATCCTAGTTCTACCAAATAGCATCTCAAAGGCTATGTAACCCAACTGGTAGAAAAATAATGTCTGCATTTTTTTGGGTTTACATTCAACGTTTCATTAACCAATCTGACATTTGCCCCTACATAACTGACTGAATTCATTACATAGAGTAAAGACAATTATATTGAGCTAAAGACACTGGAGGAAAAGCAGATATTAAAAAACCCACTGCTTGCCCCTATTTGCTAAAAGCAAGACATAAATTTGTCAACATGTCTCCCTTTCCTTAATCAGAAAGGAGAGAACTCTTAATGACCAGGAGTGAACCAAGAGGAATCTACAAACCTTACCAAATAATCCTTTGATCTTTCATGAGTTTCCCATAAGTACTTACTTTCTCACTCTAAAAGCCTAAACCCGTTTTCCTTTGTATTGTCTCTTCTCTACAAAGTTAAGAAGCAGCATAAACTCAAGTTCTGTTTACCCTTTGAAGTATTCATTACTGGGTTCTCCCATGTACCTGCATGATACATGTGTTAAAATCTTGCTTTTTCTCTACTTATTTTGTCTTTTGTCAGTTCATTTCATTGACCTGGCCACTGAGTCTGAAGGAATAGATGAAATTATTCCTCTTCTACATTTAGCTTGATTATATTATCTAAAGTGGCCAATTAATTAACTTCACCAGACGAACCAGATATCTCAGCCATATTGAAACAATACTTTTAAGTTGTAGGAATGATTGGGGAAAGATGGAATCAAAGTTGGATCTTTCAGAGGATAATCGATCAATGAATCATAAAATCTAGAGTTTGGCCCTCAGACTTCTGGTCCAGAAACTTGAACGCTCTTAGGTTACCTAGGTTCTCAGGGATGGACTCAATACAACAAATTCTCAAAAAAAAAAAAAAAAAGTGGTGTACAACTTTGATTGTTAATGTATTATTATTATTGCAATAGGAATATATTACTTTCCAATGACCATAAAATTTGTGTGCCTTATTCAAAGCACCCTCCCCCTCTATTTCCCAATATCAATAAATAGGGGAAACCTGACTTGATAACTCTGCACTCAGGCCAAGGAAACAGGTCCTGCGATCATTTTTCACTTTAGCTCTGAAAAATTCCATAGCAGACATTATTATTGTAGACTCCAGAAGGATGAGTCCCCCCAAATCATTCTCTCCATCAGTTTGGTCTCTTTAAATTCTAATTCCTGGTTGCCACCACATTCTGTTCACATACTATT